AGTTCTACGTATGTATCAGAATGTTGGACAATATCGACGGGGACGAAGTTTAGAGTTTTGGATTATTATGTTATACCAGTTTCTACGTATGTATCAGAATGTTGGACAATATCGACAAGGACGAGGTTTAGAGTTTTGGATTATTATGTTATACCAGTTCTCACGCATGTATCAGAATGTTGGACAATATCGACAAGCATAGAAAAGAGAATTGAAGTAATTAAGTTGTGGTTCTTAAGGCACATCTTTAAGTGGACAGGTCATACCTCAAACGAAGATATTTTGTCAAGAGCAGATTCCAGCAGGAAACTGATGATTAACGTGAGAAAGACAGAGTTAGAGAAAATTGAAAACCGTAGAATACGCTATGTAAATAGAAGAATGTATCACCATTGGAAGTTCTTTGTGCCTCAAGAAGAAGAGATTTTTGGAAAACCTTGGTCACCAACATCCTGTTTGGATGTGGTACCTAAAAAGAGAACCAAACGTAGATTATAACAGTATATTAATGAATGACTTTATGTTTGTTTATTCATTTGACCAATATGAACCGTATTGTCTTTATTTGTTTGTTTTATAGCAAAGTCACGTGGACTATCCGCTGTGTCCACCGGGGAGATCGAACCCCGGATTTTAGCGTTTCAAGACCTTCGACTTACCGCTGTCCCTCCGGGGGATCTGATTTGTACTAATGTGAATATGTACCCCACTACCGTGGTGTACTAGTGGGAGCTATTACGATATTCTACGTCACATCCGTACTAATTTGATCCAGCAGGTTCCCACTAATAATTTGTACTAATGTGTTGTAGCTTTATTTATTCATTTCAGTTAGTTATCTCCTAAGTGTCTGAAATCATGAATCAAATAATAATAATAATAATTCATAATGCCAACTTGAACCACAAGTTTTTCTATGAAAGACTCAGTAGCTAACCTTTCAGAGAGATCTAGCCTTGTATATGTAGTTGACTTTATTATATTGCTAAGGTTATTTTAGTTTCGTAATAACTAAGATATAATAAGGACTGGACCAGGCTAAATTTTTTTGCCATCACCTCCATTGTTAATACGTATGTATTCTGTATGCATAAACGACTTTTATCTTTAAAAACAAAGTTACTAGCTTTCAAGTTCCATGTAACACGTTAGAGTTAGTAAAAAATGTTTTATTGTTTTATCTATCTTGAATAGGGCTTTGAAGTGAGAAGCAGGAGACAAAAGGCTCCAGAATCGGAAAGTTATTATCGCATTGAATCCAGTGAACCAGGAAGTAAGTAAATATGTGTTTTTCTTTTCTCGGAGATCAGTAATATGTTAGTTTGAAATTATAAAAGAATGTGTAGCTTAGATGAGAAAAAAAAAACCTAGCATGAAAATATCTTGAATAGATTCCGATCGTCTGACTGAACTGCTGTTGAAACTGAGACGTTTGGTGTGTGTGTTCAGCAGTTCTATTTGTTGAAGGCCTCAAGTTTCTTAGAAGTTTGAAACATCTCTTGCGCGTGACCTGAATAAACCATAAAAAATCTTTTTAACATAAGGAAAAAACACACAAGTCCAACAGCTACAAAATGACACCTAAAAACAAAACACGACACACACTAAAAAGAAATACATAGCAAACACTACCAACAACCAAGATACCTCTCCAACCAACACCTAAAAGTATTGAAAACTGAATAACATACTCAAAAGTAGTTTCCAACGAAACAACAAAGAAAACACTGACCAACAATCTGAACAAAATATAAAACATGGTAACCGAACAGAGATCAGCAACCCACAATAGAAAGATGACTTCATAAGAATAATGATAAACATTGCCAAGAAAAACCTAGCATACATATACAATTAATAATATCAAAAGCATACATATTACAATTAATAATATCAAAAGCATACATATTACAATTAATAATATCAAAAGCATACATATTACAATTAATAATATCAAAAGCATACATATTACAGTTAATAATATCAAAAGCATACATATCAAAATTAATAATATCAAAAGCATACATATCACAATTAATAATATCAAAAGCATACATATCACAATTAATAATATCAAAAGCATACATATTACAATTAATAATATCAGTAGCATACATATCATAATTAATAATATCAATAGCATACATATCACAATTAATAATATCAATAGCATACATATCACAATTAATAATATCAATAGCATACATATCACAATTAATAATATCAATAGTATACATATCACAATTAATAATATCAATAGCATACATATTACAATTAATAATATCAATAACATACATATTACAATTAATAATATCAATAGCATACATATTACAATTAATAATATCAATAGCATACATATTACAATTAATAATATCAATAGCACACATATCAAAATTAATAATATCAATAGCATACAATTATAATTAATAATATCAATAGCATACAATTATAATTAATAATATCAATAGCATACATATTACAATTAATAATATCAATATCATACTTATCACAATTAAACAACTTAGATATATACCTACTGCACAGAATTGTTACCTAGATCTATAACTACATAATAATAGGAGACTCAAACTGTAAAAATAATGATGTATTTGTATGTGTCATGACTAGAGCAAACGGCAGTAAGCTCCAAGAATTCTTAGAGGATACTGAAAGTATCCTACTCAACGACAATACCCCAACATACAAGAACTACGCAAATAATAGTGGTGATAATTTAGATTCATGTATATTTTCTAGTTCTATAGTAAACTCATTGATTTCATTTAACATCGGAGAGGATATAAACAGTAATCATCTACCAATATGGTGCGACTTTGATCTCTCTATAAATACTAGGAAATATCAAAAAAAAATAATCTGCCCGAAAAAATATTATAAATAGTGTCGAAAACCACATTCTAACTGATAATTACTGTTGTACAATCACGAAGTGCCTTATAAAAGCAGTAGACATATACATCTCAACCACACAACCAAACATGGAAACCCCATGAATAACTTACAAGTTCAATGAAATAACGCATAAAACTAAAACTATACATATATGAATACACAAGACCCTGATCTAAAAAATTATGTATGTATATATATATATATCAATACACAAGACCCTGATCTAAAAACTACATATATATATATCAATACACTAGACCCTGATCTAAAAACTATATATATATATATATATATATATATAATACACAAGACCCTGATCTAAAACTAGAACAAAATACACCAAGAAACACTATTTGAAAAGAAATATAAGACTAATAACTGATAGTTGGGACAAATATTGCTCAAAGCTAAACACACACACACACAGACCCCAAAAAGCTTCTGGTCTCACTTAAAAAGATTTACTAGAAACAACGCAAAGACGCAACAGGCCATCTAGTAACATTTACAGAAACAATAGTAGAGATTTTTAATCGAAATGAATGCACTGTTGCTCGGTTTCTCGATGCAGAGAAAACATTCGGCACTGTATGGCACAACGGACTAGCATATCGATTGTCACAAATGAAACTACAGTAAGGTATTATTCGCTGACATTCTAGACAATAGGAAAGGTCGGGCACCTTGTCGGAGTATTTTACCCCGGAGGCAGGTTTCCTGCAAGAAGGGGTAGTTAGCCCTATTATATACATCATGTATGTGAATGAAATGTCACTGTATGATCAAAATTCCGGCTTGTGCTTCCAGATTGCGGATGATGTGTCTATCTGGAAAAGTTCCAACACCTCAACTATAGCAGCGACAGATCTACATCCACAGTTAAATAAGTGGAAAACTACTTCCACAAATGGAAAAATCAAGATAAACGTCCCTAAAACACAAATCATACTGTTGAAAACTCACAGTTTTGAAGAAAAACGATTATTTTACACACAATTCTAAAAATGGGGCTGTTTCGACCCTCAAAAATTACAATAAAATACAGGATAAAAAGTGGTAAAAAACCGATGGAACAATCTCATACACTCTACATGTTTCTACGTATATCACTGTGTTATCTTTAGCATTACAAAACTTTACAAACATTACATTACATTGTACATTACATGTACAATAAAACAAACAAATCATACTATTTACAAACTCAAAAGAGAAGTGCAAACAGCCCCGCCCCCCCAAATTATACTTTTACGGAACTCTTCTCCAGGTAGCCACATTAGCCAAATTATTGGGTCTGACTTACGACTCTAAATTAGATTGGACTAAGCATATAAATGAAATTAGAAACAAAATCTGGCACAGAGAGAATTACGTACGACGTCTGACTGGTAACAACAGTAGCGTTACAACCGAAAACACACTCAAAATATATAAAACTTAATTATGTCCAGTGACAGAGTATGCCTGCCCACACTTAAACAAGCTACAAACAATAAAAATTCAACAACCATTAAATCATACAGAGATACACAAATATAACATTCTTATATAATTGCACAAACATCTCCATGTTGTCAGACAGACTTCAAAATAAATCAATGGATTACTTTCGCAAGAATCTTAACAAGATTGAATCCTAAAATGCTGATAAACTTTATCATACATGATAATAGACCTAAGTACCTCTCACCATTAAATCTAGTAATATCTTTACGTAACCTATAGCCACCTACTACTTGACAAACCGGTAGCTAAAAATAGTGTTTATTTTATTATAAAGGGGTTTATTTATGCGAAAATATGATTAGTGCTGTATGTTTTTTGCAACCGATATTTATGGAACTGTTTATGTGAAAAAAATATTGATAGTCATGAAACTGTTTATGTAAAAAAAAATTATGATGACATCAACAAAAAAAAAGAGAAATTTATGTCAAAAAAACTCGAAAAATCGACTTTTTATATTCATCGACATGGAGTGAAAAGGGTCACGCGCGTGTGCGAATAACGCACGCAGTGACTGCATATGTAAAAACGGGATTTCCTAGCTATCGGACCGTGTTCTACTGAAGAATTAATGTGTGCTTGATCCAACACTGAAGAACCAAACCAATAGTCAAGGACAGAGGTAGAGGTCCAGATGTAACTGATTCTTCCAAGTCACGTGACTAAACAACGACAAAATGAAATAAAGATGGAACACTCTCCCATTAATATTCAAAAAATACATTTCTCTGAAACCTGCCACCGATATAGTGATGTCAGTTTTAAGTTGCTTCTTCAAATAACTGAAAATATAAAAATATGATTTTGTACTGAGAAAAAACACTTGATACAATATTATATATCAACATCAGAAATATAGCTGTAATACTAGATTTACAAATATAACCTCATAAACTGAAAATAAACTTTCTTACATGTCAACCTTGACTAGTACAATAAAAGTAACTCAAAGTGATAATCACACTTTGCAAAAAAAACGATTTGAATATCTTAATGTAGTCACCACATATGGGAGAACTGGCTTTTCTGGTAGCATGTGGTTCCTGATAATTTATATCTTAATGTAATCACCACATATTTGAGCAGTGGCTTTATGGGTAGCATGTGGTTCCTGGAAATTTATATCTTAATGTAGTCACCACATATGTGAGCAGTGGCTTTATGGGTAGCATGTGGTTCCTGGAAATTTATATCTTAATGTAGTCACCACATATGTGAGCAGTGGCTTTATGG